CCACACCCCCCACCCCGACATCGCACAGCCCTAGGCTGGATTCTGGGTTCAAACTGGGGCCAGCCCCTGACCAAGATTCTGGGCCGGGCCTGGAGAATGGCAGGTGTGGCCCTGACAGGGGACAAAGTGTCAGAAACTGTCAGGGTCACTCAGTGGTCTTCATTTGGGAAGCCCAGATGCCCAGCCAGGGTGTGAGCGATCACTGGCTACCTTAGGTATAAAAGGACACCCAGAGTTAGGAAACAGGCTAAGAGGGGGGATGGCCATGGTTCAAGGAGGAAACAAAGGTTCTGTGAGGGATAGATACTCAGGAAGGGCATGGGAGTGGGAAGTGAAGAGGGACATGTGACATGGATAGAAGGGCACCTATCAACCCCATCCCCCCACACCCGCCCCAAACTTACATTTTCCTGGGAAAAGACCCAGGCCTTGAAATTCTACAGCAAGAAGGTCAGACCGTAGCTCACTGGTGAGGACACCCAAGTTACTGCGGGTACAGTGGGGAGACTCAGCATGCTGGAGGGACAGAAATTAGCTTGGCCTAATTGGTGGGAAGATGTTTCCCCTCTCCTGCCTTTCCCCTTATCTCCACCAGACCAGCTACCAGCCAGTACAGGAAGATGGTTTTTTACTCTTGTCATGGGCTGAGCCCTATCTTATCCCAGTTCCCAGTTCTACCATTGGAGATACCCTGCCTGTAACTTGCTATGTGAACGCAGGCTCCTCAAGTGCCCTTTCTGGGCCTCAGTATCCCCATCTGTACAAGTGGGTTGGGCCAGTTGGTTTCTCAGAGCTATTTCAACCCTAAGATTCTTGATTCTAAGCTTACCTTAAAGTCTGAGCATCAACTATGTGCCAGGCCCTGATCTAGGCTGTGGGATGGGGAGGGTGGAGACACCAATGGCCAAAGCCTCCACCCAGGAAAAAAGAGAGGGGGCTGCGGGAGGAAGTAGCATTTAAACTGACCATGTGTAGTCAAGCAAAGGGACCAGTGTAAGAAAACACACAGAGGCAGGAAAGGGGCGTCCAGGGGTGGGGGGTGGGGGCCGGTGCTGTCCAGGGAGCAGCAAGAAGCCTAGGGTGGTTGATGTCGGGAAGGGAGGCAGGAAAGGTATGGTGAGGTGTTGACTACCAGGGTGAGGGTCTCTTGGTAACTGTCAGTAAAGGGGCTGTGAGAAGGTGCAGAGTCAAGAACCCCACCTAAGTGCAATGGGAGTGATTTTGGAAGCACCTGCCCCAAGCAGAGTTTAGAATGCAGACAGCAAGTGGCGTGTGGACGTTTCCTCCTCTTGAGTCAGGAAGCTCAGATCCCACAGTGGGGACGTCTTTGGGTGAGAAAGCAAGGGGCAGGGAATGGATGAGATGACCTGCCATATCTTTGAGGTTTTTTTCAAGAAGGTAAGATCCTGCTGGGAGACCTGCCTCTACTCTCCAAACCCCTCTCATTTTACTTGACTGTCCCCCATCCTGACTTGCCTGTTGTGGGTTCAAGGAAGAACGCCTGTTCCGAACTTCTCCACTAGCTTCAATTCTTGTCTGGCGGGATACTTCCATCAACCCATATGTACTGTGCCTTTGGTTGCACCCAATTGTCTCCTTGTTCCCATTCTCTTTCCCCAATCCTGTCCCATTACTAGAAACAAGAGAAAGGAAAATGCTCCAGTGTCAGCTCTGAGGTCAGTGTCAGGCTTTGTGGCTGTATTCAAGCCTCAGTCTAGGGCTAGAGTCAGGACTCCCATTGACCAGGTCAGGGCCGGGTCAGAGTTCAGCCTGGAGGCAGAGCTCTGTGCTTAGCCTATACTCAGCCGTAGAGCCTGGTCTGGGGTCAGAGTCAGTGCTTGGTTTGTGGCTAAATTCCAATCTTAGCAGATACCTGGGTCTGCATTTCCCAAGAGCTCACACACTCACAGGGGAGACGAGGTGACTACCCTGAGAGTCCCAGAAACGTGGCCTGTATTGGTATGACCCAGGAAGCTGCATGGGCCAAATTCATGCCTGTTACAGGAGCCACCCAGCCATGGTGGAGCTGGGTCTAGAACTCCTGCTCCAAGCCTGGGGTTCTGATTGCTGTCCCCAAAGTCTGTTCTGAGTCTGGGATCCTTTAGCCCTAAGAAGCAAAGCAAATTCACCTGAATTCTAGATGAGCCCAGCTGGGTGAATCTGACTACATTCTCCTACTCCCAGTACTAGACAAATAGTGGGTGCTCTAGGGAGGTCTACTGAGTGTCAGGTGCAGGGGAAGGGGCCAGTGGCTTATTGGGGTTTGGGGCTGAAGAGGACTGTCTTGGGGGGAAGAATTTTCAGCCACTGTTGGAGGCATCCTTCTAGACCTGCCACCTCCCCCTCTCCTCCAATGCCTGCAGCCACACTCAGAGGCCGCCCAGCTAGCCATATGAGGGCCCTTTCCTCTTCCATAGTAATAAAAGGAAAGGACATTTTTGGTAGAAAAGTCCCTTCTGTTCCCTGGGAATCCCCGGTGGCCGGATGGACTACGGGATATCCCAGAGGAAGCCAAAGGCAGGGGCCCTCCCCCTACCCCCAGCACAATGCAGCCAGGCTCTCCCACGCTGCAGCAGCTGGCCTCTGGGGCCCCCAGACATCATATCACCCAGGCCCCTGCCTCCTGGCGTGCCTGCAGGAAGCCTCTGCTACCTCTCTACTGGTCAACAGCAAGTCGAGGAGCACCTGTTTGGAGCCAAGGCCTAGCCCTCTGTGAGATGCAATGAATGTAGAGGGCCAGGGTGCTTGGCAGGGGGAACAAGATGGGAGGGCTGTGGGTGCTTGGCAGGGGGAACTAGGGCAGCCTGGAAAGAGGGCAGGGATGCTGGACCCAGGGGATCTTGGAGGATTTAGAATCCAGGCAGAGGCTACAGAGTTGGGTCAAAAGCAGAGAGGTGAGAGTCAAAAGCTGAGAGGTGAGAGGGAAATGATGTTGGGAAGTCAAAGCCCATTTGATAAGGCCCTGACCACCATGTTTCCCGTGCCCTTGGCCCTGGCAGAGCATCCTCAGGTCTTGCCCCTGGACACCTGGCCCTCAGCCCAGCCTGGCCATGGCGTTGTGCCTGAAGCAGGTGTTTGCTAAAGACAAGACATTCCGGCCCCGGAAGCGCTTCGAGCCGGGCACACAGCGCTTTGAGCTGTATAAGAAGGCACAGGCATCACTCAAGTCGGGCCTGGACCTTCGCAGTGTAGTGAGGCTGCCACCAGGTGAGAACATCGACGACTGGATCGCCGTGCATGTGGTGGACTTCTTCAACCGCATCAACCTCATCTACGGCACCATGGCCGAGCGCTGCAACGAGACCAGCTGCCCCGTGATGGCTGGAGGGCCACGCTACGAGTACCGCTGGCAGGACGAGCGTCAGTACCGGCGGCCAGCCAAGCTGTCGGCACCACGCTACATGGCCTTGCTCATGGACTGGATTGAGAGCCTCATCAACGATGAGGATGTCTTTCCCACTCGTGTTGGTGAGTGCCACCTGGCAGGCACGTCAGGCCTGGCCAGGGAGGGAGGGCATCACCAGAGCCCATTTCACAGATGAGGCATTTAGTTTGATATAGCAATTCTGTTGAGGGGGGCTGGTAATTTTCATCCCCATTTTGTAGACAAGGAAACTGAGGCTCAGAGAGGTTTAATGTCTGCTCAAGATCAGGCATCTTGGGCTAGGACTGCCTGAATCCCAGTTTGGGGCTCTTCTTAACTGAAGCTTGAGTGCCCCTCCAGAAACCATCCTGGCAAGACCACTGTGCTTCTCAGAATTCCCAGGAGAGGTTGCCTCAAGGTGCTCCTAGCAGGTCGCCCTGCTTGGGCTGATCTGACTCGTGACCTTCTGGGAGTTCCCGCTGTCTCCTAGCCCCAGAAAGGGAAGGGAGTAGGGATTGAGTGGGCCAGATGGTACCTCCACCTCAAGAGACTCCGAGGGCAGTATTCGCCCTTGTCAGGCCCAAGCCACGGAGCCTTTTGTTATCCCATCCGGGCAGCCTGGTTGGGTGAGGGTAGGGAGGGGAGATGAGTGATGTCACCCTGGCCCTGCTCCCCCACCCAAGGGCAGCAAGAGGGGGTGTTGGCCCAGGAGCTGAGCAGGCATGGCACTGTGTTCATCACAGTAGACCCACCCCCACCTGGCCTCATGTTTGTTCCTGTTGAGGCATTGGGAATCAGAGATGGGTGGGGCAGGGTGGTCAAGCCCAGAGGGCAGAAGTCTGAATGCTGAGGGAAGCTGAGTACTGAGTCACAATTCAATGCCCATGGCCCCTCCCCAGCTGGTGGCCTGCCATTTACTGCACTATCATGCCCAACAATGGGTATCTTCATTTAACATGGGAGGAAACTAAGGCCAAGAGAGGGACAGTGCACTGAATCAGGAGGGATTCAGAACTACAGCTCAGGTCTCTTGAGGCCCGAACCCCAAGTCTAGATGGGCAGGACAGGTCTGAGGGACCTGAGCTGGGCTCACAGGGAGGCAGGTCTCAACCCCTGAGAGCAGTGAGGAAGGGGAAGGGCTCGATGGAGTGGGGTGGGCCAGTGTGGGCCTGTGTCTGGGCTCTATTTCCTCCGAGCCTTAATCCCCAGGCCTGTGAGACTACAGGTATCTTTAGCCTTTACCCTGAGATGACTCTGCCGCTGCAGAGAAGAGGGCATGGCCACCAAGATCTCCACCCTGAGCGTGGGGGACTGTGCAAAATTGTGCCATTTTCACAGGTCCTAGAGCTTCTCGCATGCAGGGTCTATGGCATTTATCTCAGAGGGGTGCTATAGGGCGGTACAAAGAGGATTTGAGTCCTGCCTCCAGTCCGTACTAATGAATAGTTCTGTGGCCTTGAGCAAGTGGCTCCATCTTTATCTGCCTCCATTTTATCACATCTAGAATGGCTATCCTACCCATTATCATACCAGGCAAAAGGTACAAAGGGCCCAGCACAGGGCCTGGCTCACAGATGGAAGTGCGTTATTGAAGATTTGAAGGAATGAGAGATATCTGCACTAGTTCTTAAAGACTTAGTAATTCTCAGGATTGGGGTTCTCGGGCCCTGTTGTGTGAATGTTGCAAAGAGGAAGGAATCAGGATGGGGCTGGAGAGGGATGTCAGGATCATGAAAGGCCTTGAGCAGGCACCATGCTGGGAAGTTAGGACTTAATCACAAAGGCCCATGGTTTAAAAAATGAACCCCAGGTATTGATGAACTCCCCTTGGAATTGTATCCAGGGGTGTCATGTGACAGCACCTACAGATGCACATATTTCTGGGGACAGTTTGGGTATCACTTTCATCATAGTCTAAGAACGGTTAGTCAGTTCCCCCAACCAGGTGTCAGAGTCCTGCTCAGGGTGATGGGAAAATATAAAAGATGATTTGTATTTCAGTAGGGGAGAGGCACAGTCAGATGTGTGCTTCATTATAAAGGGAAGTATGGGGCTGGCAGAGTGGCTCTGTCAGTTAAGAGTGCGAGCTCTGAACAACAGGGTTACCAGTTCGATTCCCACATGGGCCAATGAGCTGCACCTGAGCTGAGCTGTCGCTTAGCTGCCAACAGGTGGCAGGATGGCTCAGCTGGTGAGAACACGTGCGCCTAACAACAAGGTTGCCCGTTTGACTCTCCCATGGGATGGTAGGCTACGCCCACCCGCAACTAAGATTGAACATGGCACCTTGAGCTAAGTGGCTGTGAGCTGCCAACAGGCAGCCAGATGGCGACTGGACTTGGAGCTGAGCTAGCTGTGCTCTCCACGACTAAGACTGAAGGACAACAACTTGGCCGTTCCCCTTCCCCAATTCCCCAATAAAATCTTTCAGGGAAGTATGGGGGAAAGTGAAACACAATCTCTCGCTGTCTCCCACGGGGAAATGTGCAAGACCAGAGGCCTTTCTGGGTGAAAGCTGCCTGCGTGGGGGAGGGCAAGGTTGAGCAGAGTTTCATACCAGGATGCTGATCCCCCCACTTCTGCCCATCCTCGCCTCCCTAGGAGTCCCCTTTCCCAAGAACTTCCAGCAGGTCTGCACCAAGATCCTGACCCGCCTCTTCCGCGTCTTTGTCCATGTCTACATCCACCACTTCGACAGCATCCTCAGCATGGGGGCCGAGGCACATGTCAACACCTGCTACAAGCACTTCTACTACTTCATCCGAGAGTTCAGCCTGGTGGACCAGCGGGAGCTGGAGCCACTGGTGAGGCCAGGCCCTCATTGCCTTCCCCCACCAGGGCTAGCCTCTGCGTTTTCATATCCAAAGGCTACCTACTTTAAGAAAATTCAATTAGGGGAAGGCAATTGGCTTAACAATGATTCTATACTTTAATAGAGAATTCACTCAAGTGTCAATTTATAAACCCAGACCTGCAGGCTGGAGTTGGGGGGGGTGGAGGTGGGGGAGGGGAGGGATGGAAGGGGCCAGGTTGAGGCAGAACAGCCAGGCTCTATGTTTTGGGAAGGGGCCACCTGGCAGGTTGAGGTCTGACTGACCCCTCCCATCTTTTGTCTCTGCAGAGGGAGATGACAGAGCGGATCTGTCACTGAACCCAGGCCTGGACATTGTTGCCCATCAGATGGACCACCTGAACTAAACACAGAGTGGCTGGGGGAGGGGACACTTAGGAGTCTAATGGCAGAGGAACCTGAAGGCCCTGGGACACCTCCACATACCCAAAGCCCCTCGACTTCTGGTCCTCAAGAGCCTGCCCACGTATCCCCTGACTGCTTGTGAATGGAGAAGGAGAGAATTTAAAGGTGGGCAAATAGATGGAAAGGAAGAGCTAACCCTCCGACATGAAGTCTGGGGTAGGGTAGGCTAGAGGGTTTCTGCTCTAATATGTGACCCTTCCATGGTGGTTCCCAAGCTTACATGGGGAATTGTGGATATGGCGGAGGTGATGGCAAGAAAGGTACAAGAGAGTGAGCAGCCTGTGTGAGAGTACAAATGACTGTGTGTGTGTGTGTGTGTGTGTGTGTGTGTGTGTGTGTGTGTGTGATTTCATTGTGGAGTGTGTCTGTGAGAGCTAGCTGCCTTAGACCCTCCCTGGCACATTGTAGACCCTCATAAATGTTAGGTAAATGGATGGATGGATGGATGGATGGATGGATGGATGGATGGATGGATGGAACATTGAGGACCACATGGCTAGTGAATGGACTCTTCCAGGCTTGGAGAGCCCCCATCTTGCAAGTACCTGCCTCTTTCCAAACCATTCCTGAGACATTCCAGCTGTTTAGCTCTCAGAGCATAGCTATCCACAGAGAAACTGGGATGTTCATTCAGCAATCCGTTACTCAGCACCCCCATGCCCAGCCCTGTGCCCGGATCCACAAGTGGGGGAACTGAGGCAGGGATAGGGCCCTCCCCTCCCAGAGCCGCCACACTTGGGAGGCCAGAATGGAGAGCCAGAAAGGACCTGAGGATCATCCAGAGTCACTCACAGAATCCTCCATGTACATAGGAGGAAACTGAAGCCAGGAGGAGAGGAGGGAGAAGCTGTCCTCACAGCAAGGCTAAGTGGAGCTGGAGTAGAAACCAGGGGACCTGATCCCACCCAGGGCCTATGGATTGCTACATAGGGAAATGAGAAGCACGTGGAAAGAGGGTTTGACAGCCCCTCTCCAGAACACAACTGTTCCTGCTTTGAGCAAGGATTTCTAGCCTGATGCCAGAGTGCCCCACCTTCCCTCAGGTCTGGGGTTATCTGCTGAGCCAGGCCTCCAAAATCATGACCCTCTTCATGGTCCAGCAGCCGCCTGATCTCTGAGGCAGCAGATGGAGCTCCTGGGGCCTGCCAGCTGGACCTGGGGCTGCTGCCTTCAGAGAAGTTCCCAAGGGAAACACACTGGCCAGCAGCTTTGCCAGAAGCCCGGGATGGGGCAGGGGTGGGGGTTTTCAAGATTCCCCCAGGGAGGACTGCGGATTGGAAGATGGATTCTAGGCTGCGGCCGGTGCTGATTGCAGAGGTGGGTGGGGGTGGGGGTGGGGGGAATCTATTTTTGTGAAACAGAGGGAAGACTTTATTGTTATTTTTTGTAAAATAAAAGAGGCAAACTAAAGCTGCACTGGTGGGAAACTGTGGTCTGGGTGCCACATGGCTCCTGGGCAGGCTGTGGAAGGCACTGGGCCAAAATGGGGAGGCTTTTTGTCCGGAGATCCTGGACCATATGGAGAGCTGTTGGGTGTGGTCATATCTGGCCGAGCTCTCCAGGGTGGAGACACCAAGAATTCCCCAGGGCTCTGGGAATTCTGGACCCGGAATTCCTGGGCTAGGCTCGGAACCTAGGAGTGGGGAGGGCTGGCCCTTGCCTTTTGGGAGCTCAGTCTCTGGGGAGAGTCTTTCCATGCTTCGGTTCAGATCTCCTGGCACTGGCTATTCACACCTCACCCCTTTAATCTAGGTGGTTTATTGGAACTAATGGGTTAAGGAACAGGGCAGAAATACAGTCCTAACCCTAGGCACAGCTGATGAAGGCCTTCTCAAGAAAAGGCTGTTTGTCGGGTACCAGCTAGAGCTCAAAGTCGGGGTGGCAGCACATGGGTCTAACTCCTGAGCTTATTCCACAAGGAGACACTCGAGTCTCTTAGCTCAGGTCTTTCTCTCATCCCACTGCTCCTTACCTTCAAGCTTCCTAGATAAGCTGACAAACAGCTCAGTTCTAAAGAGTCAGCAAAGGCCTACCTAGAGCTCTCCCGTCTACCTGAGAAGGAGACAGCCTGACTTTATTCAGTGGCTCTCCTGGGAGGCAGAGGCCTAGGTTCCAGTCCCAACCCAGCCCCTGAGGTACTATGGTAGCCCGTTTCCCCTCCAGACCTCAATTTCCCCTGTTTCATGACCAGGAATGGGAATAAAGAAATGATTGATTCAAAGCTCCTTCAATACAATCTGTGGATCATTCACAATGATAACCATAGCTAATGCTATATATGTGTCAGGTACAGTTCTAAATTCTTGAATCAAGTTTGTCTTTGGCTAGCTGCCTGGCTCCCTTCTTGACTCCCAGTATCCCTCCTTTCATTGTTCTAGGATCTGTAAGGCCCTCCACTCTGCTGCCCCTTCTTCTGACTCACTAGAGGAGGCCCCTGTCCAGCACTCAGAAAGGTAGCTCTGCTTATACACCAATGACAGGTCCCTCACTCCCCTTCAATTACTGGACAGCTCAGACTCTTAGAAAATTCGGCTCGGCTCATAGTTGTTTTGAAATACACCATGGCAGTGAGGGTAGATTTATCTCAGAACTGTGGTCAAGGTCTGCACCTTACAAACCGTCACAAAATGGCTTTGAGAAATTCAAAGAGGGATGCTTAGAGAAGACTATACAGGGGTAGAGAGAAAGGAGGAGACAGAAGAGAGAGATGGGGCCTCAGCAACACAAGAGAAAAGAGCCCCCCATAGGGCAAAACTTGGCAGGAAAGGGTCCTGGGAGAGGCAACATATCAGGGGGAAAGGGACAGTTTGTTTGGGCAGCCAGGCTGTGGGAGGCTTTGTTTTCCTTTTGGCTCAGGATCTATAAAAATATTTGGAACAGGGAACAAGGAAGCAAGCCATTCTCCCCACCTTGGGGGAGAGCATCCACGATTGAGAAAAGGCTGCCCCACCACATTTGGCCCTCATGAACACTGAAGCCTCTTTTCTGAGGTTCCCTGCTGCCACTCCCACTCCCGAGAGCCTGAGAGCTGAGTGTTGTGTGCAGTGAAGGGAGCCACAAGCATGGCTGGAGTGCCACCTGATTTAGCAGAACCCTCCTTGAGTCCTTCCTCCTTTGAGTTCCCTAGAGCCCTCCTCTCTGGTGTTTAACTGAACTTGGTTGTCGTATGGGAACATAGCAATTTTGAGAATCCGGATTAGAACATAGGCCTGAGTGACTCAGAAGCAGCTGGCTATTGAGACATTCAGGGAAGAAAAGGGAACATGGACTCTGAGGACATGATGTTTGGGTAGGCCTGGAAGGTGGGAGAGGTCAGAACATACAAGGGCCTTTGGGTTGGACTGAAGGATTCTGGAAGTGACTGAATATATAATAGAAGCTTGGTAGAAGACCGCCCCCCTCTCCAGCCTTCACCCAGACTGGGAAATCTAGCAAAGCCCTGGATGTCTCGTCTCCTATATGTTCCAGACCTCCTTCCATCATACAGATGAGAAATTGAGCCCAGAAGGGGAAAAGGAAACAAATGTTGGGGGGGGCCGAGTGGCTCAGTTGGTTAAGAGCTCGCTCAAGAGCGAGCTCTGAGCAACAGGATCGCTGGGTTCGATTCCCGGCCCGAGCTGAGCTGCCGCTGAGCTGCCAACAGGTGGCAGGATGGCTCAGCTAAAAAAAAAAGGAAACAGATGTTTGTCAGTTAGATGATGGGAAATAAGTTCAAGAGGCTCTTTAGCATTGCTCACCAAACCCTCGAAAAGGCAGGGAAAGGATATTTACTTAGATTTCATAACGGAGGAAACACATTCAAGAGTCAGGACCTGAATCAGCACTCTTATTACCTCATCACACTTGGCATATTAACTTATTTGCAGTTGGTTTTCTCTAAGAAATGAACTTTTAAGTTATTTTGAACTACTGGGGGTAATGCTTTACTCAAGGATAAACTCTCATGGTGAAATTATAGACACCCAAACTTTTAAAGAAATTTTACAGAATTAGCACTCATATTAGAAAAGACTGGCAACATTTCCCCATATGTAAAAGGCATTTTAAAAATTCTTTCCTGGCATACAGAAGCTTTCGGTAAATGTTAATTACACATGCAGCTTCCGGGCCTCCTCCCTCCTGGCGCTTCCCTGGTTTCCCCACCTTCACTCAGAAGATAGCATCAAAGAAGTTAAGCCTCACCCTCTACCCAGCAATCTCCCCGCCCCTCTCTATCACGCCTGCGCAGTTTACTTAGCTCGCTCCACCGTCTTCCTGGGCGTAGCATCCAGGGCGCAGGCGCAAACCCGCCCCCTCACGCCCCTCTTCGGTCGGTCCCGCCCCTTCGGGTCTAATACCGCCTTTTCCGCGTTCTGGGCGTAGCGACCTGCCGGTGGGGGTACGCGCGACCGTTCCCCGCGTCGAGTCAGCTGAGGCAAAGAGGAGACAGCGAGGTATCCCTGCAAGTGAAATGTGATGGGCGGGGGGCGGCCTATGAGTGAGTCCTTGTGCCCAGGACGGAGAAGTCAAGGCCTTCAGAACGTCCCGAGGTCACGACGCGATTCTGCTACGGGGGGACAGCCCAAGGGGACGCTTCTTTAGGGCTCTCCTCAGGGTTCCGCCTGTTACCAGCTCAGGGCGCAGCGTGTGTCCCCTGTCGGGGCTCGGCCTGTGCTTAGTGTCGTGGCTTGGGTTGTGACAGGTGTCCGAGGTCGGAACTCAGTCTGGGACCAATTTGAGACTCATTCCCTATATGGCTGGGCCCAAGGCTCAGAGGCAGTCCAATATCATGATAGTTTTTCATGTGAGCAGTGTCGAGTGTATACTAGATACACTAGATGTACTACATTATTTTAAAGTTAACTGTTTTCATTTGAAAGCTCCTGACATGGGCGGGTCGCTGTACAGTGAGGAGAGAGAATAGTGTCGGGTGCAATCTCTTTCCTTAGGGAGTTTCCAGGCTACCAAATGGTCAGTAGCAGATCAGAGGCCGGCGTGGGTGACAGGAATGAAGTGTTGGAAGTGCTTGGCGTTGGGTCATTCCTGGGTTCAGATCTCACCTCTGCCACTTCCTGTTTGTGTGTCCTTGGGCAAGTCATTTCCCCTCTCAGAGCTTTAGTTTCTCCTGTATGAAAAAGGTATAGCAGGGTCATTGTGAAAGTTGAATAGGATTACATGTGTCACCTAGTATGGCACCTGTCATGAACTGGGTGCTGAATACACTTGGTATATGCAATGGGTGTAATTTATATGAACTAGGTCATTTTAGACTAGTGTACTTTAGCGAGGCCCTGGGAGAAGAGTTGAGGTGACCCAGGCCCTGAACCTTCAGTAGGACTTATAGGTGGAACTGATCTTACAGGATGGAAGGGAACTAATGCTTATTGCCCATTGCCCATATGCCAGGTGCCGGGCTGGGCAGTTGATATATATTGTCTCACTGGATCCTCAGCTATCAGCCAGGTACTTTCTACCCCACTATCCTTAGCTCCAGTACCTCTAAAGAAGGCTAGGCTGGAAGAGACCCTGGGTTGGGTTTTTATATGGACCTGGGCCAGCTAAAGACTTTGGTCTCCACTCTCCAACTTCTCCCACACCAGCTCTTCCCTTTCTGTGATCCTGAAGAATTATTGGGTTCTTGACTTTGCCTGGGAGGCCTATTACTCTAGTGCTCTAGAAGATTTTGATTGTTAGAGGCCTGGCAAGTGAGCATCTCTTAAAGTCAGATTGCATGAACTTGGGCTATTACAGAGAGAAGCCTTATGAGTGGTTGTTGGATTTCTGCACATGCTTCCAAAGTGCATGGGGTTTCCTGTTACATGGTCCCATAGTAATCTAATAACTTGATTCCTTTTACATCCTCTTCATGGATGCCCATATTATCTTCCTGAGATAGTGTTCTCATCATGTTATATCTCTGCTCAGAAACCTTAGCGGACCTCATTGCCTACTGTATATAGAGTTTGGACTCCTCAGCCTCATAGACAAGTTCCTCCATAATCTGTTCCCAAACCTCC